GTGCGTGTGGGGAGGGGCAGATTTAAAGGAGAGGCGATTCGCGTACCTCTTAGGGGTAGAAATTAACTTTTGAACACGGGAGTCCAACGGACTCCCTACCCTCAAAAAGAGGGAGTCCGCGGTCTAAGGTTCAAAATTAAAGATATTAACAATATTATTATATTTACACAACATGTGCTTATTTTTAAGATTCATGCAGTAAGCACATCTGCCAAATTTTCTTTGGACATTAACTGAAAAAATACAGTCATTCTGCGAGGCCGTGCTCTGGAACGAACTAGTTAGTATAAAAGAATTTTCAGGGAGTCACACGGACTCCTGCATATGTCAAATCAGGGAGTCCGGCAGTAAATCGGGGAGTATTTGACTCCGGACTCCCGTTAATTTCGCGTCCTGCCTCTGATGGCACGTTGTTGTCGTAATTGACGCACTGCAGGTGTGTTTGGTGCTGGTAAGAGTTACCTACTGTCCGTGGCCGTCCTGCTACTGAATGAACTCTTCACGCTCAGCGGCTGTAGCAACTGGAGACTCCTCGTCTCGTCGATGACCAATGTCGCTGTAGATCGTATCCTGCTAGGGTGAGTCGCCAGTGAAAAAAATACACGGGGGCTCGGGGCGATTTAGCCCCCGAAATGCCAAAAAGAGCCCCCGTAAATTTGCATAGAGTTCAATGCAAACCAAATTTTAGACTATTTTCATGCACGCGAGCTTGAAAAGTAGCCCCCCAAAAAATTTATTTTATTTTTTTCCCTGTGAGTCGCTGTATGTTGTATCCTGCTAGGGTGAGTCGCTGTATGTTGTATCCTGCTAGGGTGAGTCGCTGTATAGTATAATAATAGAGGCTCCTTAATAATGATTCCTCGCAGTGAATCTCGACTCCTAGAACCTCCGCTGTTTTTTCACCTGCAGCAATTAGCTCCAACCGTGCAGGGTACAAAGGGTGACCTTGACGACGACCTTCAGCAGACGTTGTTCGACAGGCTCATGAAGCTAGTAAGTATACGACCTCCGCGTTACATTTGCGTGACCTTCCCGCGAACTTGTAGTCAGTCGTGACAGCGTCTATGAATCATAGCGTGGGATGACGTGTGTGCGTTTATACACGCATTTTTGTTCAATATTTTTTATAGTAGACAAAACTGTAGCTTTGTTTGGGATATTACTCATCCTTCGGGGCTTCGGCTGTAGGATTACAGTCCAGTGATGCTGAGAACCCAGTACCGCTGCCATCCACACATCAGCGCCATCGCTAATGATCTGTTTTATGATGGGTGCCTACGAGATGGAGTCACCTACACTGAGAGGGCACCGCTAATGGTATGCGTATTTACTTACACCTGTGTGTACATATTTATTCTTTGGGGTAAGTAGTGCTCGTAGGGTCTATGTCCCCCTGACCTCTGTTTGACCTGGCTCGTTTAGCTATTTCTGACTAATCTCGCTTGCACGAATGAACGTTACATCTTAATTAATCCCTTGTGTGCGTGCGCACGGTGTGCGTTGTGTGTTGCAGTAGTGAGCGCGAAGCATTGGGCTGTGCCGACTAGGTGTGAACAGCAGCGACTGCGGCCAGCGTCAAGGTCGTCGGTGTACCTCGCGCTGCATGCACGTTCCCATGCAGTGGCCAGCGATTTGAAGTTGCGCGTGAGATGAAATCTTATTTGTATTTGAGCCAGGGCGAGAGCAGAAGACATCTATATGTGTGTCGTGTGTGTGTGTGTGTGTTGTGTGTGCGTGCGGTGCGGCGTTGCGTGCCGGTAGTCGGTGCGTGTGTGCGTGCGTTGATTGGTGTGTGTTTGTGTTGTGTGTGCATTTGTAGTGTACGTACGTTAATTTTCTGGCATGCATGCATGCATGTGCGTCGTACTCTGTGATGTATCTGTGTGTGTGAGTGCGGAGCGTGTGTGTGTGTTGTGCGTGTGTGCATGCGTGGTCTACGTTACTGTTAATTTCTTGTTTACGTCATGCATGCATGTTGCGTGGTATATTACGTCTGTGTTGTGTTCATGTGGTTGTGTTGGAGTGCCGACGTGTGTGCACAGTGTTATGCTACAGAAAATCTCGTACAAAACAAAGATATCTGCCTAATATACAGCAATGCAGCTTTTAAAGATCATATTTGGCCTTCCAGTTCAGAGCAGAAGAGAAATGGTGATAGTGCCCTCACTCTCCCTCCAGTGATTTTAATCTGAATTCGCCTTTCCATTACTGAACGCATCTCCAGTTATATATGAAGTCAATCAATGAGAAACATGCATTCATGTTTTTGGTTTTTTATTTTATAACGTGTGTATTTTTCGACATTTTACTTAAGGCCAGCCGGGGTAAATTGTTAAGTATTTTGTCTTTGTCTTAACATTTAGGCCAATTTTATTGATTTCCACATTCCTGTATCTTAGTAATTTTCTCCCAATTTTTGGTAAGAAAACCAGTCATTCAAATCGCTTCTTCACCCGCCCACAGGTGGTCGTTGGCTTTGATGAATGTTCGCAGCATGACCGAACGCTCTTCACTAGTCCAATCGCTCTTTCGACTGTCGAAAACTGGTCCTCGTTGGCGACCTAGTAAGCCACTTGCTAGTGCGCCAAACGACATACTTGTATCGAAACCAAGTGGACTTACTTGCAGTTTGATTATTCTTTAATGAAACGCTACCTAGCAATTAGTATAAGTATTCACCAAAAAACAGTTAGCACTGGGATGGCGTCTAATTCCGTGTAAACAGTTACCAGCCGTTATCTGCTACTGTTTCCATTACTTTACTCTTTTTTGTTCAGTTACTTGCCGTGGTAAAGCTGGCTGAGCTTGAGATTACCTCTTACCTCAAACCGTAGCCTTTATGGTGAAAATATGCTAGCTAGCCATGACTCCGCGCATGATACCTTTTAAACTATTTACTAACTTTGATCAGAGCGGAAGAGTCGTTAGTAAGAAATATGGTGTTTTTGAGCACGAGTATAATATATAATAATAACAAGAGTAACATTAATGGAAAGAGGTATGACACTGTTTTAACAGTCGTTTTTGGTAGTTTTTTAACTTGAATTTATTCTATCAATATGTGAATAAAATTATTCAACTTTACCTTGTTTTTTCGTCTCGGCATTTCCCTTAATCATATGACACCACCGTTTACCTGAAAATCGTATGTGTCTTCAAAAAGTCTTTGAATACCGACATGCGTTTTCACACAGTTTCCCAAACTGTTTGCGTTCCAGAATCGAAGACAAAAACAAAAGGTTAAAAAGGGGGAGTTTGAATTATAAATATTTATTCACATATGATAGAATAAATTCAAGTTGAACTACGCAAAAACATGTTAAAGACCAGTTGTCATTATCTCTATTAACTCTGCTCCCATTATGTACTCCCTTTAATAATAAGTATGAATAATAATTTGATAAGTATGATATAAGGTGAGTCGCTGGTATATCGATTGCACCTATATTTGCATTTAATTTAGATTGAAAACGTTGGACCCAGTTTCAATGTGATTGCATGAACCATCCATTGGTGGATGAACAATCTCGATCTCTGCATTCCACGCCAAATTCCAACGCCTAAACAGTGTGCTGAGAGCGTGGCTCTGCGCAAGTGCTGCATGTGTTATTTATTACCATGTTATGAATGGCTCAGGATGGGTGTGCTATAGAAAAATTCTTGCCATCATCTCTCAGGTTGGTTTCACTCGGCTTTGAAGATTTTGTTCGCGTCGGCAGCCTCCGAAAGATGGCCAAGCCTCTGCTGCCCTACAGTGTGATGGCGGCCTCTGGTGGCGAGAATCAGCAACTACGAGAACTGCAAGAGATGCTGAAGGGAGACCTCATTCCTTCGGAGAAGTTGTGAGTTTAACTTTGCCTGTTACTCGACGACGGGTACACCCATCAAACCTTTCTCACTAGCTCATTAATAAATACGTCCACATTTGCTCACGTGCTATGTAGTAGAGGACATAACGTAACATAGCGGGTGCTTCTGTGTGTATGTGCAAATGATACTGTACTGTTACGACTTTTGTTCGTTATTCTTCGTGGGTATGTGCCTGCGATGGGTCCATATCCACCCTGCACTAAGGAACGAACGAATATAGCGTATTATAACATTTTCACACACAATGATATTTTTACTCTCGCTTGCACGAATGAACGTACATCTCTAATTAATCCCTGTGTGCGTGCGCACGGTGTGCGTGTGTGTTGCAGCTAGTGAGGCGAAGCATTGAGGCTGTGCCGACTAGGTGTGAACCAGCAGCGACTGGGCAGGTCAAGGTCGTCGGTGTCACCTCGCGCTGCATGCACGTTCCCATGCATGGCAGCGATGAAGTTGCGCGTGAGATGAAAATCTTATTTGTATTGCCAGGGCGAGAGCAGACAGACATCTATATGTGTGTGTGTGTGTGTGTGTGTGTTGTGTGTGCTGTGCGGTGCGTGCGTGCGTGCGTGCGGTGCGTGTGTGCGTGCGTGTGGTGTGTGTTTGTGTGTGTGTGCATTGTGTGTGTACGTACGTTAATTTTCTGGCATGCATGCATGCATGTGCGTGCGTACGTCTGTGTATGTTCTGTGTGTGTGAGTGCGGAGCGTGTGTGTGTGTTGTGCGTGTGTGCATGCGTGTCTACGTACGTTAATTTCTGCGTGCATGCATGCATGTGCGTGCGTATATACGTCTGTGTGTGTTCATGTGTGTGTGAGTGCGAGTGTGTGCACAGTGTGTCTGCTACAGGAATCTGTACAAAACAAATATCTGCCCTAATATACAGCAATCAGCTTTTAAAGATCATATTTGGCCTCCAGTTCAGAGCCAGAAGAGAAATGGTGATAGTGCCCCTCACTCTCCCTCCAGTGATTTAATTCTGAATTCGCCTTTCCATTACTGGAACGCATCTCCAGTTATATAATGAAAGTCAATCAATGAGAAACATGATTCATGTTTTTGGTTTTTTATTTTATAGACTGTGTATTTTCGACATTTTACTTAAGGCCAGCCGGGGTAATATTGTAAGTTATTTTGTCTTTGTTCTTAACATTTAGGCCAATTTATTGATTTCCACATCTGTATCTTAGTAATTTTCTCAATTTTGGTAAGAAAACCAGTCAATCAAATCGCTTCTATCACCCGCCCACAGGTTGGTGTTGCTTGATGAATGTTCGCAGATGACCGAACCGCTCTCACTACTCCAATCGCTCCTTTCCGACTGTCGAAAACTGGTCCTCGTTGGCGAGCCTGAGGTAAGCACTTGCTATGCAACGCATACTTGTATCGAAACCAAGTGGACATTACTTGCAGTTTGATTATTCATTTAATGAACCTAACCTAGCAATTAGTAAAGTATTCACCAATAAAACCAGTTAGCACTGGGATGGCGTCTAATTCCGTGTAACAGTTACCAGCCGTATCTGCTACTGTTTCCATTACTTTACTCTTTTTTGTTCAGTTACTTGCCTGTGGTAAAGCTGGGCTTGAGCTTGAGTTACCTTTACCTCAAACGTACCTTATGGTGAAATATGCCTAGCTAGCATGACTCCGCGCATGAACCTTTTAACTATTTACTAACTTTGATCAGAGCGCGAAGAGTCGTAGTAAGAAATATGGTGTTTTTGAGCAGAGTATAATATATAATAATAACAAGAGTACATAATGGAGAAGAGTAATGACACTGTTTTAACAGCGTTTTGCGTAGTTTTTTAACTTGAATTTATTCTATCAATTATGCTGAATAAAATTATTCAAACTTTACCTTGTTTTCGTCTCGGATTTCCCTTAATCATATGACACCACCAGTTTACCTGAAAATCGTATGTTCTTCAAAAAAGTTCTTTTGAATACGACATGGTTTTCACACAGTTTTCCAAACGTTTGCGTTCCAGAATCGAGACAAAAACAAGGTAGAGTTTGAATTATAAATATTTATTCACATATTGATAGAATAAATTCAAGTTGAAAACTACGCCAAAAACATGTTAAAACAGTGTCATTATCCTCTATTAACTCTCTCCCATTATGTACTCTTGTAATAATAAGTATGAATAATAATGATAAGTATGATATATATAATAATGAGTATATATATAGAGGCTCCTTAATAATTGATTCCTCGCCGTGAATCTCGAACTCCTAGAACCTCCGCTGTTTTTTCACCTGCAGCAATTAGCTCCAACCGTGGCAGGGTACAAAGGGTGACCTTTGACGACCGACCTTCAGCAGACGCTGTTCGACAGGCTCATGAAGCTAGTAAGTATACGACCTCCGCGTTACATTTGCGTGACCTTCCTGCGAACTTGTAGTCAGTCGTGACAGCTGTCTATGAATCATAGCGTGGGATATGACGTGTGTGCGTTTATACACGCATTTTTGTTCAATATTTTTTATAGTAGACAAAACTGTAGCTTTGTTTGGGATATTACTCATCCTTCGGGGCTTCGGCTGTAGGATTACAGTCCAGTGATGCTGAGAACGCAGTACCGCTGCCATTCCACACATCAGCGCCACGTAATGATCGGGTTTTATGATGGGTGCCTACGAGATGGAGTCACCTACACTGAGAGGGCACCGCTAATGGTATGCGTGTTTACTTACACCTGTGTGTACATATTTATTCTTTGGGGTAAGTAGTGCTCGTAGGGTCTATGTCCCCCTGACCTCTGTTTGACCTGGCTCGTTTAGCTATTTCTGACTAAACCCTATACCCTAACC